ATGAAGGAGCAATTACATCAATATCATGATGCATTGAAGGATGCTAAGAAAGAATTGGAATCTAAGAAAGAAATTGAAAGACTTTCTATTCAAGAAGATGCTAAAATTTTAAAAAAGTTAGCTTATAATAAACTTGAAGAATTATATGGGTAATTTTTTTATTTATTAAATGTTTATACAGTATGTGGTGTTTTTGTTTGTTTAAATTTTTTAATCTATTTTAGGCGGCTTGAAGATGACTTTCAGTTAAATGTAGTTGTTATGATCCAAGATGATGAATGCAATGAAAAACAAAAAGAACAAGGAATGGATAAAGGTAAATAATTTATTTTCGTTCAAATTTAACTTTTATTTTAAATTTATTTATTTTATAATTTAAAATTTCAATTAGATATCGAGTTCGAGGAATTCTTTTCAAAGTATTCTGGTTTAAAATTAAAATTAGACTCAGCGTTAATAATTAAACACAATGAATGGCAGCAATTAAAGCGTAAATTTATATATGGATTATTATTAATGAAAGAAATTCAAACACAGGCATCAAATAATGAAAAATTAGACACCAATGAAGTAAATGAAGCTATTTGGAAAACATTTTATAACTTGTTAAAGAATCCGTCGTTACTTTCAAGTTTACAAATTTATAAAGATTATTTTAAACATCTGGGACTAAAATCATTATTGAGTTTGCATAAATTTACTTTTGAAATGAATGATAATCAAATTAATGAATATGATAAGCAATCAATCCTTTCTAATTTAAAAGATTCTGATTCAGCAATAATTGACAAGTTATTTGATCAAGAATTTTGTCCAAATAATTTAGAACTTAGAGAATCAATTATAAAACTTTTCCGGGATAAATATAACCAATGGAAGAATAATATCTTTTTAAATGATATTGACAAAATTGAACCAAAATGGTCAGATTATAAGAATAAAGTAACGGAAAACCTAAGAGTAGAACATGAAAAATTTAAGAGTAATCTCGAAAGAAATGCATTCGAAATATTGAGCGCTTTAATTGAAGCTAAATTTCCTGATGGGTATGTGTGTTAATTATTTATTATCACTCTTTATCTTTTTTATATTTTAACAAATTTTAATCCATAACAAATTTAACTTAATTTATGATTAGTCCTTTATTTAAGATTATAGATATAAGTAGTAATTCATTTACGATATTTCCGAATTTTACGATAAATTATGAGCTTGATACTGTCCAACCAGCAAGATTACAAATAACGATTTATGAAACTATGCTTGAACAAGAAGATTGCTTGAAAATTCAAGAAGATGAATTTCATATTCCCAAACCTAAATTATCAACTCCTGCCAATGGACAATATGGTCATTCTTTCACTATTGATCCTGAAAATGAAATAAGGTAATTATTAAATTTTAATTTATTTATTTTTATTTATTTATAAATTAATAAATTAAACCTTTCTTTAGACATATATCGAAATTCGATCATCCAAAAAATCCAAAATACTTGGTAATAATTTGGAATAATAAAACGAATAGAATGGAACTTTACTTCAATACCGCACAAGATTTAACGACGTCGATTGTAATTGACAATCCAAAAATATTTCGAACTTTACAAACAGGTAAAGACTGTCTTATTGCAATAAATGAATCAAAAGGGTTAATTGGGATATATGATTTTAACCATGGCAAGGTAAGCATATTAAACATTAAAATTCATTTAATTTATTAAATTCTCAAAAAAATTGATCATTTAATTATAATTTTTGTTAATTATAGCTTAATGTATTTACCTTTGACGAGGATCAATTACATTTATATCCACGTAATTTAAATATTCAAATCTTAGGATGGTATAATAATTCGGTTCCAGATATACAACATTTTTTGTTTATTAAGGATACTGAAGAGCTATGTTTTGTTGAAAAAAGTGGTCGTGCTAGAATTTACAACCTTGTTAATGGTCAATTTCGAGCGGGGGTTTCTCAATTTCCTTCTGAATCCATCGCAATTTTAAGTTCACCTGATGGTGCTTGTATTGTTGCTTTTGTAAAAGAGCAAAAAAAATCAATCAAATCATTGGGTGATGAAGGCGGCTATATATCTAATGATCAAGAAAACAATCAACTTTCATCGAAAACTTTTGAATCACCTAAAAAAATCGTTAAGGCATATATATATTTTTGTGCTGAATTTGGAAAACCGGCAAGTAAAGGTGATTATTTGATTATTTTGTTATTGATTTTTATTATTTCTTCATTTAATCTTATTTTTTTTATATTAGTTATTGATATGCCGCACAATATGCAATCTTCGGAATTTTTTCAATTTTCTATTTTACATAAACGCCAAATTCATCTTACAACATTTGATATAAATAGTGGCATATTTCATTCCGTAATAATTAAGATAACACTTGAAAAAACGCAATATCGATTTCAACAACTGTCTCGTAAAAAATCACTTGGACAAGTTAAATTTGAATCTATAACGGCTGATAAAAATTTTGATGAATCAATAATAATTGGTAATAAAACTAATTTTACTAAAGACTTTAAAGGAGGAGAAAATATTGTTATTATGGGCGAAAGACATAGGGTTTCTGAAGTAATTTCTGATGAACGATTAAAATTGGCTGGAAATATTTCTTACATTTTGGGTATCGAATCATGGCAAGATTTTCGTATTGAACCGAAAGCAAAACTTAATGGGTTTATAGATTCATATAAATTAATGTTTGAAAAGTATCCAATCGATAGTTGTATTGATATTGAACAAAATAAACCACTTAGTTTACATATAGTTTTGGATATTTTACATGATAAAGATATAGAAGAATATAGTACGAAATTTGAGGACTACATTTTAGAAATGTTCAAAGATCTAAAAAGAGAAACTAACAAGCCACAAACAATTTTGAAAAAATTCTCGATATTTGTGACAACTTTTCAGGAGCTTGATATCGTAAATTTAATACACGCAAAGAGAAAGAGGATTGCAAATATTCAACTTGGTGAATGGATCATACAGTTATCATGTTTAATTCCGATTCAAATTGCCGTAGCGAAAAATAATCAATTCCAACCATTGCGTGATGGTCTATCAGAAAATGGTAGATTGGGATTTGATGATGGTTATCGTCCTGTAGATAGTATCGCGCGTAACATTTCTTTTGGATGGTATGAGGGGATCCTTAAATATTTTGGAGATCGACAAGTTAAAGTAGTTTCAAGTATGGGTGAGCAGTCTTGTGGAAAATCATATTTACTAAACCATCTTGTTGGATCTACATTCGATGGTTCTGCTATGGTAATTTTTGAGATTAATGTATAAAACAATATAATTAAAAAAAATTTATTAATTTTGTTTTCTATTAGCGTTGTACTGAAGGAGTATGGATGTCATTAGGTAAGCTATTGTCGTTGATATTTTTTCGCGTAATGTTCGATTAAAATGTTTTTTTCTTTTTTAAAAAACAGTTATTACTAAAAAATTCATTTATGTCGCACTGGATTTTGAAGGATTAAAATCCTTGGAAAGAACTCCACAAGAAGGTTAGTTTTCTGTAGTCGTTATGAATTTCCGAAGATAAGCTATAATATTTTATTTACTTTATATAGACTTGTTTTTGACTTTACTAAACACAATCGTGTCAAATTTAATTTTATTTAAGGTAATATTTTTTGTAATTTCGATGTCATTATATTAGCGATAATCATATCTTACTTTTTTTATATAGAATCAATTTGCTATTAATCGAGATTTGTCGTCGATGTTCCAAAGATTTCAAGATGGTGCAACTTTGTTTGAAGCGGATTCAAAGATCTTTCAGGCAATGAAACTAAGGTTATAGTTACTATGATAAATGCCGTAAATTTAATATTTATTCCTATTTTTATATGATTAGGCAAAGCTTTGTGTCATTATTAAAGATGTTCCAAAAAATGATAGGAGTGATATTGTTAGAGAATTTTATTCCCGATTTGAACAATTAGTAACAGAGGTATTTTGTTTGTCAATTATAAGTTTTTAATTCGCAAATTATTTATACGCTTAATTAATGATATGATCTTAGGAAGGTGAAGATAATTTTATCACTAAAATGTACAAGGGTGGATTAAATATTATGCCATGGCCAATTTTTAACGATGCTGCTTGGTTTAAAGCACTTGCTGAAGTTAAGAGCATCCTTGATGAACAAGAAACAAAATATGTAAATGCTCGAATCTTTTTACAAAATATTAAAGTAATTATGGCAAAATTGAAAGTATGTATTTGTTTTATTATTACATTTTTTTAATCCTTTTTGAGTAATGAGATATTTTTTCCTTTTTAAATATAGGTATGTGATTGGGGTTCATTGGATGAGAACTTGGTACAAAATAGAGTATCAACATTAAAACGATTACTTTACAATGCTGTGTTTTGGGGTATTGAACAAAAAAATCTAACTGTTGAACATTTAATAGTATGTGTTATCAAGAAAAAAATTTTAAAGTTTTTTTTCATTAATTAATTTTATACATTTTTTATTGAAGAATCGTGACTCAGGAAAGGACATAGACGATCCAATAATATGTATTTCGGAAATATTTGATGATTTAAGAGAGAAAGAAGCAGAATTAATGCTTGATTCCGAACTTATTCTATTTGAAGAAAATACAAATTTTATTCATCTTTCAACCGATTTGAGAACATATTTTGAGGATAAAATTCAACTACGCAAACTAAGTTCTAATGATGCAGAATGGTTCAAGTCCCTGGTAAAGTTTTTCAAATATATTATTGATCGAAGAATAGTACGTGTACAAGAATGGTTCAAACAAAATACCATTAGATTTCCACAAGATAATAGTGATATAGTCATCGCAAAATATACCTTGGAGCAAGAAATCAGCAAACTTACAAATTTTTGGACATTATGTGGATTAACTTGTCAGACTTGCGGTTTACGTTGTTTGAAAAATAGAGATCATGATAAGGATAATGACCAGGAACATGATTGCTTAACTAATCACCAATGCCATCTAACGTGTCAATTTATTGAATCTCATGCAAGTAATTATTTGCCAAGTTGCAGCCATAAGGCAGGACACGAAGGAAAACATGCATGCAATAAAGCTAACCATTTATGTGGAAATCGCTGTAGTCTTAGTGAAAAACGAAATTGTCAAAAGATTTGTGCAAAAGAAATTGGACATAAAGGCGATAATCATCTTTGTCAATCTAGTCGACATAATTGTGGTGAACCTTGCAGTCTTAATACTCATACAATTAAAGGAGGTTATCAATGCTCAAACAAATGCATTATGCCACATGAAGTGGAACACTATATACATAAATGTGAAAATGAGACGTGTCCAATTCAATGTCCTATCAAAGATTGTCAACGAAGATGTCAAAGCAATAATCATTTTCATGCTTTATCAGGCGTAAACCATTTTTGCGGGTATGTTTATTTGGCAAAAATCTTGTCTTGTCTTCAACTGCTAACAGATTAATTTATGTTTTATTTTCAGAAATGAGCATCATTGTCTCAAAGACTGTGATCAACCTGGTATCTGTAAAGTACATATAGAACCTCAAAAGCAAAAAGAAATATACCAAGGATTAGTCCAAGACACATCAATTGCATTCACAAAGGTGAAACGATTACTAATTATATATAACTAATATTTAAATTTTTATTGATATTTCTTTTTTATTTTACATTAATTAGTATATACAATTAAGTGAAAAATTAAAGTGTAATAAAAAGATTCCTCCCAACGAATTTGAGCATGATGGTCCGCATATTCATGACAACTTTCATTTTTGTGATGTTAAATGTCCATTCTGTGAATATTATGTAAGTAAAATTTTTTGATAATATGTTGTTTAATTTAATTTGGTTATTAAAATTAAAATATATGTATATAGTGTACATTACCTTATGGGCACACACAAAAACACGAAACTAAACATGGAAACATGATTCAGACAGAATTTACTTCTGAAAATGATGAATTTGAATATGGAGGGTAATTTTTTTTTATATATAAATAAATTATTGACAAAAATTCTTATGATCCTATATTTAATGTATTATTTTTCATAGATATAAACTACGAATAGGGGATAAAGGAACCTTTTTATTATGTAATCTGGTAAATAATTATATAAATAATTATATTTATTATTATTTATATCTTAATTTAAAAGAACAATTATAAACACATATATATAGGTTTGTAAGGAATTAGGTCGTCATCGGCATATAGATTATTGCCAAAATGAAGAAACTTGTAAATTAGGAAATCAAGGACAAGATATAAAACATATTGATGGTAATTTACTCGATATATTATTTATAACTTTTATATCTATCTTTTGCTATGTTAATAAATATTTTGAATTGTGATTAAAAGGTGAAATCAGTCCTAATCCAGAAATAAAAAAGGATTTTGTATCTCATCGTTTATTTTGGGAACGTACAGGATTTAAAGGCAAGCAAAGATTTATAACATAATAATTTAACTTAATTTATGCAGCAAATATCATGACTAATTATTTATTCTCAAATAAAAAAAGATCCTTATTCATCTCAAGAATTACAGGAATTTGCTAAATGCGATCATGAATGCCAAGATGAAGTTCATAACAAGCCACAGGATACTAGTAATGCAACATTATTTGCAAAATCTTATTGTGAATTACCACTTTTCCATCCTCCTTTAAAGGTAACCTCGCCTCTTTCGAATAATTTGGGTTATATTTCACTTGATGGACATCATTTCACTTGTGAGAATCCAAGTACGCGAGTAGCTGCTTTCCATATTATATTTGTATTAGATCGTTCAAGTTCAATGAGCAAAATAGATAGAAAACCCATTGAAAATACTCCTATTTGTGAATTTTTAAAGAGAAACCATAATAATAGACTTGGGGCTGTATATAATGCGGTAATTCATTATTTATTCCAATTAAATGGTAACTTTTTTATTAATTATAATTTATATTTTAGGTCTATTCTTTTCTTCACACCCGTTTACAAACGATACCTAAATCGTCTCGTGTTCAAGATGCAATCTCAATTATTCTTTTTGATGAACAAGCAGTCGCACCTTATGTAAATCAAAGCTTAACGGATTCAAATATCATAATAAATAATTTAGTTCAATATTTTCCAAGTATAGGGACTAATTTTGATTCAGCTATAGAAAAAGCTGGACAGATAATTGACACGAATTTTGATCCCACAAAGTAAGCAATTTATATTAATTTTAAAGTTCTTTGAAAATTTGCTGATTAACCTTTATTTTCATTTAATAGAGCGAATATTATTATTTTCTTATCAGATGGAGGATGCGCTATTCCTGAATCAAGACTTAAAAACATTTGTAAACATAATCAGAACAAAAAGTAAGTGTCATAAACGATAAACCATTATACATTAATTCGAACAAATTAAATCCATTAAAATATATTAAAGTTAAATTGACGCCTATTTTAGGTCACCATTATATCTTTATACAGTGCTCTTTAGCAGTAGAACTCACAGTTCGTCATTAGAACAAATGGCCGAGATTGCGCAATCCTATCATCCTCCAAATTCTTCGTCCGTTGCTTTACGTTGTCAATTTACTCGTGCTATTGATGAAGTTAAATTAGTTGATCATTTTACTTGTGTTGCAGCAAGTTTGAGAAAACATAAACCGGCTTTATTAAAGAACTCGGTTTTGTAAATTTAATCATGTGATATTTAAAATGAACGATCGTCAAATACATTCGTACACTAAAAGAAAATAATTTACATAACGTCCTTTTAAATTAATTGGTATATTTATTCTAAAAATACTTTATGAACATATGCTTACAAACTCTAATAAAGTAATAAATTTAACGAATGTTTTAAATATAATTATGAATTGTTCTCTCTATTTGAAAATTTTTAATTAGAATTGTAAATAATCAGAATCCCGAAAGATTTTAAATATTTAATAAAAACTCGAATTAAATTACTCAAGTAATGTTAAGCTTAACTATGATTGGCGCAATATCGTGCGACACATTCAGACTATCACTAACAACGGCAACGTCAAAGATAAATTCTCAACAAAAATGACTAAAATATATTATTTTTAGAGAGTATGTTTTAGAGATTCCAGTCAATACATCGAATATATACGAAAGATAACGTGATAATATAAATATTAAGTGTTCTCTATTTCGATATATAAAGTAATTTCATGGATATTTATACATGAATAATGATAAATTGTTAAATGATATTATATTGAAAAGAAATAAATTATCAATCAATAAATTTAGTAAAATTGATCAGTTGATAAGTGACCCAACAACGTAACCTGTATTTAATTTTTTTTATAGGAACAATCATGCAATAATATTCAATTTTTATTTTAGTCATTAACAAATGTGAGTTTTGATTTCCAATTTAGTTAGACAAACTAATATGATTAAATTAACAAAAGGAAAATAATAAAGATACCAATATGTATGAAAAGAAAAATCCACTAAAAGATTTTTATATATGATAGGTAGTACTAATAGTACCAGCCGTTAGAGTCAGAGTCGACGGCTGAGTCGACTCTGCAAAAATCAAGTAGAGTCGACTCCGGAATTTTCAAATGACTTAAGCCGCTGTTCCAAATTATATATCATGCCAGCATATCTTAATTAAATAAAAGTTACAAATTTTTAGTTGAAAGTGATTCTAAAAACTTTATTTATGATTAAACTTTGTCTAATTTTTGAAAAATTAATTAAATTATAAATATTTTCATTAAATATTAAGATATTAATTATAGTCGCTTGAGAGTCACGATTCAGCCGACGGCTGAGTTGACTGAAAATTGTCTAACGGCTGACTGAGCCGACTCCAAAATTTGCACCGGCTGGTACTACTAGGCAATACTTTAAATTACATGTATTATTATATAAAATCATTAACATTTAAATAATATTACCTAGGCCAGATCTTAAAAAAAAACTGCAATGAAGCTTTCTAGTCTGATATAAAAAAAATTATATATGTTTTAAATTAGAGACGCGTTAGATAAATCATATGAATTAATAGAATATTGATGTGAAATGGAAAAGAAACGAAAAAAATGATTCTTATTGATAAAGCTGTGGCGAAAAATCAGGAACGATTATAAAATTAATTATTGGGGAAATACAGAACTGTAGAATATAAAAAATAATAATTGACTTTCTCGTGTTTACTGCGCCACAGTGATTCTGAAATACAGTATATAATTTCATATACCAGCCTCGAACTGAATTATTGAAATGAAGAAGTTTGCTATTTTCTCAATAAAATGAAATGATTGTGATGATTGTTAAACACGAATTGTATTGTATTCACTGCATCGTATACCATGCGATTTTTATTAAACTTTGTTTAAATATGCTCTTTATTGTTGAAACCGGGCTTATTGTTTAACCTCGACAACGACGACATAATTATAAAAATATAAAGTGGAAAATCGATCTTAATGGCATGTGTAAAGAAAATTTTAAACAAGCTTAATTGTAAATAGGACCGGTTACGATGATTCCAACTACTCCATAATATCAACAAGGATTCCCTTTGATTAAGCCTATGTAACTTGACAATCTGTTGAGAACATCGACGATATCAGGCAACATCACTTGAATCAATTTCTAAGAATTTAGTCATTTCAGAACGTTAAAAGCTCCTACTTTCAAATTTCCGATTTAAATCTTGTAGGGCAACTATTTATGCGTCAACTCATGATGATGTCATGTCGTCTTTCGTCAAAAACTCCATCAAAATCGAGTATCGATGCGCAGCTGGAAAGCTGATAACGGAATTGGCATTGCTTTGTCTTGTCATCTGCTATTATAATAATCCGATTCGCTTTATTGGTCCACTACGCGGCAGGTCTTCTTAAATAAATCTGGTATACCTCGATATCAGGATATCAGTTATTCGTTAGCAAAGACTTGATGAATTCTTCTAGTCAGGAATTCATGACTTGAGCCTCCATAAATGTAAGGAAATTAGACAATTTTCAATTCACTTAAAGATGGGTGTTATTGATTGCGATAGCATTTTATTCATCGCATTATTTGTAGTCGGCAGTGCAGCGTTTAATAATTAGATTCTAGAAATCTGGAATTTCGCTAATATCGATCTCACTAAATTGTTAGATTACCTCGATTAGAAATATTACGTCGTCAAATTATTTTGATCATTTACGGTTCAACTTAACCTTTACAAAATTTTAATTTATATTGACTGACTTCGTCACGCAGAAGTATCTATAAATTTTATAACACGTTCTAATTGAAAACAACTCTCTTATAACATTTCAAAATAATAGTTATACTATTGTGTCCAAAGAATCAAGCAAATCAAACCTAAATATATATTTTTGAACTTTACGCATAATTGTATTATCATTTTAATTCTGACCAAATCGGTTCAGTTTTTGTCAATAACTTTTGAATAAATTATTTTTCATCGTTATACTCACTCTTGAAAATGAAAAGAATCTGAAATTATGTCAAATTTTTAAAATTATTTTCATAGAAAGGGAGTTTTATAATATTTACTGATCAACTTCATTTATTTCATTGATTCCTTGATAAGAAACTTGTGATTGAACAAACATTCAATGCGTAAAAACTTTACAACAATTCTTTCTCGTTTAGTTGCATGCTGTAATTTCCTGTTGTTCCAAATTTCAAAAGATCATGTGGTAAATTCTTAAGAACTGAATAATATAAGATAAAAATATTTTTCCTTTCTATTATTGATGTGTATCGGTTTTAAAAAAAAAATTAAAATGGTTTTTTAGTTTTAGTTTCCAAAATGCACGTCGAAAAATTGTTGAGAAATCTTCGATTTATGACTATAGAGAAGTATTTTTTTTTTTTGACCACTTATAATATTATACCTTACTTAAAATCGAGTTCGATAAGTCATTCAGAATTTTTTTTATATATAATACTAACAATAACGTTTATTTTCGTACAAGTCACTCGAAATAAAGTTTGTGTCATAAACATTTTTATTAGAGATTTTGAAAATAACATCAATAAAATCGTACAATTGTCAAAAGCACTTGTTGAAATTAAGTTAAGATGAATGTTCCTCGTAATCAATACGAATTAGAAATGTAAAAAAGTGGTACACTTCCTTTTTCTTTTCAATGTATTCAGTTGATTGGAACTCGTGTAAATATGTATTTTATCCAGTGTACAAGAAAAATAATTTTCAAAACGGAAATCAATTTATCTTTATTATGTAAAAGTATATCAATTAAAAATTAATGTGATGTGGTAATTTTGGGACGAAATCGAAAATCACTATAAGAAATGAACGAAATCTCATTTTATTATATCATGAAACTTTTGCTACCCTCAACTATGCTCTATAAATTCACGTGCTATGTAATCTTATAAGTCCAAACTTCTTATTTCTAATTTTATACTTAAATAAAATTTTGATTGTATATAGAGCTTATCAATGTATCAAATGAAAAGTAGACAATGTAATTTCATTTCCCAACTTAATTCATCTACGATTTGTTGGAATTAATTTGGCTTCATATATTAATTTGGAGGTAGTGTTCCGTGAATTCCAGGTGAAGCTGTTCCTTGTGAAAAAAAAGAATCTGCTTGAGGGGAGAAGTCATAATGTGCGGTGGTGGCTTGTTTACTTATTAAGAAAATTTTTTTTGTTGCCGAATCGATGGTCATTCTTGTTAGACATGTCCTTCTTACATATAAACATTGTCATGTGAAGAAGTGTTTGCATATTGCGATCATTTATTCATTTATCTTATCTCATTTGTTTTATTATTCCGACTGGAAATCATCAAATATATACACGAGTTCGGAGTATATCGATATTGAATCGATTTTTAGCAAATTTGAATCAATATTGGGTGAATTTTATTAGAAGTTATTTTTTTTGCAATTCACTAATATCGAGTATTTATAAGAGACAATGTTTTGAATTTCAGTTTATTTTTTTAAACAAATTTCCTCTGAATATAATATTTTACATAACAATATATGTTAAAATTTTATACACATTCATACTATTATTCATTTTTATTAAATTGAATTATTATGAATCAAAATTAGCAATTTGCAACCCAAATAAAAATATTTATTATCAATATATTGCTTCATTTACTATAAAGTTATTGTGTTTTAAACGTCTGATTATGTCTTTACAATTAGTAAAATTAAAAGTAAAATTTTTTTTTTATATCATGGACTTTATAAAAAATTAAATTGCATAACCTTTAATAATTAATTTATTAAATAAATAAATAAATTAAATAATTCGGTCTTTAATATTAAATGGTTCATAGACTTTTCGTCTAATATTCGCTCGATATTCACTAATTTCACATTTATGATATTTAAATAAATGATAACTTTTGCTTCATATAATTTCTTAAGAAATGATATTTTATTTGAAAATAATAGTTCTAAAATATAGTTCTAATTCTAAAGCGATAAACACATCTTTAGCTTGTTTAGATTTTTATAGGATCAAATTTTTTTATTTTATGTAGGTTAGTTATTATTGGTTTGTTTTATTATTGTTCCATATTTTTTTTATGCATACTTATGCAAGAATTCTGATCTATCATGCACTGGAACAAAACTCCGTTCCAGCACCTTTTCCCATGAAACTTATTAATTTGAAATTTACATATAATGGCTACTATTCGTCGTCTTGAATTAGTTCATGCCGCGATAAATAAATTATATGCATTAACAGATAATTTTGTTGATGACAATAGGGACAAAAATCATGAATCTAGAAAGAAAATAATTCATGCTGACCAATCTCTTACAAAAGACGAAAAATCAGAAGCAATAAGAGTATTGAATGAAATACACGAACAACGTAAAGTTATAATAATCTACAGAATATTGAATATTTGACTAAAGGTGGGTGTTTTGAAATTTATACGGCCGAATGGGTTGAGGGACGTTATCAGAGTTGGGATGTTAAAAAAAGAGAATTAAAAAGAAATGGTATGCATGATGTGATCCTTAAAATGTTGAAAGTGCCGATAGAAGTTGGTTTGAAGAGGTATATTTTTTTATCATAATTTCCAATTGTTAAATCATTATACTGTATAACCTATATTATATTATATATAGGCAGAATCACATTTAACTTTTAGTATTAAACGGAATGATATTGTTAAATGTTATGGTTTAACTCAAGATCCATCTGGTAAAGAATATTTTCTTGTAATGGGTAAAATGGACGCAGATTTAAGAAAATATCTACAAAATCATCAACAACTTACATGGAAAGAAAAAATGCATATTACTGTTAATATTATTGAAGCACTTTACAAAATTCATTGGGAAGATGCGATTCATAGGGATTTGCATTCTGGAAACATATTATATTTACAAAAGATATGATTCTTGGTACATCGGTGATCTTGGATTTTCTGGTCCTGCTGATAAGCCATTAAAATGCATTTATGGGAATCTTCCTTATATAGCTCCTGAAGTTATTGCTTGAAAGGAATCTACAAAAGCATCCGATGTTTATAGTCTTGCAATGCTTATGTGGGAAATTTCCTTTGAGAAATCACCATTTAATAAATATGAAAATGATTATGACCTCGCAATGAAGATTGTAAATGGAATGAGACCAGAAATAACGTCAGGTGTTCCTTTAGAATATAAAAACTTGATGGAACAATGTTGGAATGCTGATCCATCAAAAAGACCCGATAATTATGCAATTAAACATAAAATATTTGAAATGAATAAATTATATTATAAATCAGATGAAAAAAAAAGTATTATTAAAAAGTTCTTTAAGAAAATTAATTTATCTCAATAAAAAACAAATGATAATACAGATGTTAAAAACCTACAAATTTATTATAAGAGCAGCAAATTATTTTCAAGTAAAGTTTATAAATTTGAAAATTTTCCTGAACCAAGGAATGCAACAGAAGGTAAATTTTTATCAATTAATTTTTATGATTTATCACAATATATAACTTAAATTTTATTCTTAATTAATAAAACAGAAGAACAAGAAGGTATTTTTTTATGTTTTAATATTAATGATTTTTTAATTTAGACTAAGTTTAATAAAAAATTATTACATTTCTGAATCATAAAAGCATTTCATAGTAAACCATACGATTTTAATATTCCTGATGATAGTAAGTATTGATATTTTAGGTTATTAATTAATATTTATTAACTATTTCTCATATTTAGTTGATGATTTTACTAATTTAAATAATAAAACCTCATCAACAAAAATTAAAGGTAAATAAATAATAAAAATATTAAATATATTAAAAATTAATTACATTAAAATTTTTTATTTAACAATTAGACTGTAGTAAAAAATTATCCAAAATTTCTGAAAGATTACGAATAAATTCAAATTATGGTAAGTATAATTTTATACCTATTGTAAAAATTGTAAAGCTATTTATTGAAATTTATTCTTTTCAGATCTTCAAAATAATTTTAAAAACGAAGCAACGCATATAAAGAAGTATAATATTAAAAATGATGGTAAGTAGAATCATTTTAAATTATAATAATATATTTATATTCTAATTCTTTTTTTATAGATGGTGAGAATGAATCATATAATAATTCAAATCTTCATTCAAAAGAACAGGATGAATTGGAAATTCCTGACGGTAAATGATTCGATTATTTATATAAATGTTTTGTCTTATAACGATTTACTTATTTTGATTTATTTATTAGATGGATTTTAAAGATTTTATTAATAAATACTTTATAAAATAAATTTCTACGTATTCAGTATATTATTATTATTATTTATATTTAAGAATGTGAAATATTTGTAATTGGAAATAACTCTTTGTTAAAGGAAAAAGCGATTATAATTTGACAATTGTTATTTATTCTAACTTTTAAATAGTTTCTTCGTCTGGAAGTTCACTGAAAACTAGAGGAATGGTGATAAATGCAGAGCTTACAATAGCTGCAACAAATATAAGTTTGACTCCAAAATTGTGCTGCGGCAGCATAATTATATTTGGTATTTGGGTTTTGGGTTTTGGGTTTTTTTATTTCTTAATCATAAAGTCATAAATAAAATAATCTATTTAAATAAAAAAATTAATCCATGCTTTTATTCAAGTGACGTAAAAAAAAGCATATATAATCCTCATCTTTTCCTTCGTAACTTTCTTTTCTTAACAAAAAATTATAAATTATTAATTGAAATAAGAAAAACATTAACGAAAGTAACTATGAACCTACAAGTAAAAATGGATGAATAATCACGTTAAAATTCGACAACATTTGACGAAGCGGAAATTGAACTAGGCTTAAAAGTTAACAGGTGATCAAGAAGTTAATTGTAAGGTTCCTATGAAAGTACATGTGATTACATAATTTTTGTAATCGACGCGCGATTATATTGTTTATAATATGGATATTTTATAACTTTTTTTTTCACACACGTATGAACACAGTTCAGCTGACCGTTCCAGCATAGTACAAGTCCCTTTCAATGAAAACGAGAAGCTTGAAAATCTTAATGAAAGTAAATCAACAGTTAAATGGTATAGATGATGATTGGTTATTGGTTAAATAATAAAAGGTCGGATTTTAGAAACAAACATAAATACATTCAAAAATTATATAATAAGATTGGTTTGAAAATTCAATGAATAGAATCGTTGATATTCGATATGGAACATCTTTATTGCGTGATATAGATAATCTCTTATAAATTCATTTAATATACAGTATAATGCTTCAATTGAAGATTAATGAAGCTGAATTCGGATCTGAGCTTAGATGGCAACTCCCATTTTGATATCATTGACCTGTGATATCAAGTGACCTAAATGACCTCAAATGACTGAATGACAAATGACTAGTCAAATGACAAGTGACCTAGTCATTTAAAGAAATTATATCCTGTGTTCTTATAATTCTGGTTAATATACTATTTTAATTTCTTAATTTTTTTATTCTAATTCTGGCTAATTTAGCTTCACATTACAAATGACCTTAAATGATCAAAGGTCATTTAAAGGTCATTTCAAAATAGTCAAATGACCCGGTCATTTGACATCACTGCCATTAACCATAAATGCGCAGGTTCTTTTGTTCATATCCAAATTATGGTAAATTGCTATAGTCCTCTTCAAATGGAGAAACCTAAAACCCATCCAGAATTATATCCTGCAATAATTTCCATGATCAAACTTTTCTGCCGTTCCTGAGGCCAAGGCGCATAATGACATACGCTTTGATGTGTACAACTTAAACGTTATCCTCAATAATAAGTTTTGATTTACAAGCTGATTTCAAAATCATGAATCACACCTAAATCTTTATGATTTGATCTTGCTTTATGTTGATAAGCATTTACGATTATTTCATTCGATACAAGTTTTAAGGGCTCAATGTTATCAGTCAATATGTGGCCATTGATTTCAAATATTGAACGACTTTTTGATAATCCGGGATAAGCTCATCTACCTCTTCTATCATTGGTAACCGTTTCAAAAAGGCTTTAGTAGCATACTAAGAAATCTGCCTTGCTACTAAAATTTTCATATTCTGAGGCAAAGATTTTTTTCCCTTCTAAAAAATATAAGATATCGGAGTGCCGAAGCGGACAAACTACCAAATTCAAAAGTACCTAACGGGGTGGATGATACCGCTTCGACTAGTAGATTTAGAAATAAACTATCTTCTATTATATCCATTAAATCAACGGATTTTGATAATAATTCTGGTGAACGATTATTCTTGTAATTCTTTTCTAAATTAAATTTTGACAACATTTTTGAATGTCGGGTAATTGAAAATAATTTGCGGCAATAAAAGTCTCGACAATATTATCTTTGGTTAGAGAACCTTTAATCGTTCTGTGTAAATATACTCCAACATGATTTCCATTCCGCAAGATTCAATTTTAGGGAAAGAAATTTGTTTTAAACGCCCTTTTAATCCAATGTAAAGTGATGAATCAAATACTTCAGAACTATCTGATAAAATCGCACTACATATGTGTAACGTAATCCCCATCGCTATGCTTTGGGTTGTTAATTAATGTCTTCAAGTTACAACTTTTTGATAAAAAACAGGAAGCCTTTACTCAACAATATTTATTCAGAGTTAAAATTATATCAGGTCGAAAATTTTTCTGAAAGTTGAGACATAGGATAAGTTTCTGAATTAATATAAAAAAAAAATAAAACTTTTTTCAATAAAAATAACATGAATTTTCTTACTAGAAAGTTTATTTATTACATAACCAGATATTCTTATTCCTTTAATACTTCGGCTTACAACTTCATTAGTTGCTATTTTTAAATATTCGAGGGTTCTGATAAAAGTAAATTGGTTCCATCACCTACTTCCTTATTTGATGCAAGCTTTGCATGGCAAGTTGCTATTATAACGGCCAGAAGTTATTTGTTTCCTTACTAACAATTTTTCAGTCCATAACATCATCAAAATTCATAGCTATTTTATATGAATTTCTTTAGAAAGAAAAAAATTACGATTATTAATTCTGAGTTATACTCTTAAAATCATCAAATCGCAAAACTGCTAAAACTGTCACAATAATCTTTGGAAAGTGTTTGACTTTTAAATAAGGAACTAGGATGTAATGAAAAAATTACTTCGACTATGGCAAAAGTTTAGAAGTTGGTATGCTTTCATCATTGTAATCTAGATTCATTTATGTTGTAGGGTACATACATTTCAATATATTATTCTATTTTACTGATAATGTATGAATTATTATATTAATTTATTGTGAAATCTCTTACATGAAACAAAATTTTTCTTGTGCAAACAATTTGTATCATCGATTGGGAAATGTCGACAAAAAAATTATTGTTTAAATCGACAATGTCAAACTTCGCTGACGCATTTACCATTCAATAACAGTTCGTTCTTTAACTAAGAAGTTATTAGAAAAATGCAAAATGGAATGCGGTATTTGGGTCCTCGGCTATAATAGTTCTATGAGTTCAAATTACCTCAAAATGAACTCATTGTCATGTCAATCATAAAGCTTCCTTGTTGGTAATATTTTATTCTAGGAGATAGAGATAGTAAAGTTTCTCGATGAATGTAAAGTTACTTTTAAATTTTGATGTAATATGAACAAATAGGTAATCTTACCACTTTTATTAAAATTGAGCCGAGTTCCACGACATTATAAAAAGGTACATACAACTTCTTGAATCCGATATAAAGTTTTTGTGGATTTTATGTCTCATCATTTTTCAAAAACATGATCGCTAGCTTTTTCGATGGAATAGAGCCGAATTGATCAAAATTTATAATATCATAGCACAGCCGGAAACAATTTTTGATTAGTGTTTAAAATTATCTCTTTTTCCTTGACAATTTCACGCGATCGTATGATAAAAATTAGACTAAGGATCAATCATGCATCACTATTCATTGAGATCTAGCCTTTCTTCTTATGTAATCCTAAGAGAACATAATTTGAATAAACTTGGATGCTAGTTCTATTATTGTTAATTGTGATAGAAGTATTGACATAAATTATAGCGGCACAGATAATAATATTGTCAAAAGGAAAACTTTATGTCTTCAATGTTTAATATGTAATTAAGAACTCTGAATAGTTTTAATCAGTTTCATTGTCGATAATTCAAGTTCGTTATTAAAGTTTAAGAAAATACTTTACAGAATGATGATGAACCATTGCTACTTATCTTTCTGAAGTAGGTTCACGTCTTTATCCTAAGTAAACTTGTAAATGAGGAATGAATACAATTATTAATAAAACAATATTTAAGCAAAACTTATATTATAATCTTTATTTATTAGAAAAAAGCTAAAGATGTTAAAAACAAATTAAATGTTTATGTTTTACAAGTTGAACTCCCCCAGCATCACCAACAAAAAAGCTCGGGCATGTGACTTGTAGCGAATAGCAGACCTTAACTTACACTAACCCTAATCAACGCGGGGTGACAAATAACGCGTGACAAATATGAATCCACACTAAAAAAAACCAAGTTCCCAAATAACATAGTAAATAATGAAACAAAGGAGGTGTGACGCGGGGTGAAGATTATTTATATAATCACGTGCCCGAGCTTTTTTGTAGGTGATGCTGTATTAATTACAAGTTGTGAGCTGTCACGTGACATACTTTTTTGACTTTTGATTCTATTTTTAATACATCTATAAATTTTTTAGACCAATCATAGTGACGGTCAATCAATTAACACTAAATATTACATAAATACCGTAGTACACTAGATATTTTCTTGAGCTTTCCTAAATTTAGTTCCACTGCAAGCTATGTAAATTATTTAGGGCAAATTTTTCTTTCTTGGACGTGAGTTTAGAAAGATATTTTGATTTTTTTTATAAAAGCAGAAACATTTTAAGTTTCATATATTTTTTCTTGACTTTTTGTGAACTTTGGATACTTTAGTTGCCTCTCAACTTTTATCTTATATAATTTACAGAAGATTAAGTTGGTTGTAAGGATTTTTAATTGTCCGTTTTTGCCACAGGAGGCAAAGGCTAATATGTATCTAACAAAAATTATCGCTTCAGCTTTTAGATAAAATGTATTTCTTATACAATTAATAAATAAAATATTTGATACTTTGTTCTTATAAATGTAAATTTTAATATTTATGTAAGTCTTTCTCGCTATGCATTTTTTCATACTAAAAAGTCGATCATTGTTCAGTTCTTTTTTTTTGAACACGCATGATTGATCGGTAAAAAAATTTAAAACTTTTTTTTTTTTTTTGATTAAATTGATATTTATACTTTTTTTTATAATATAGAATATAATAATTCGATGAATATCGTAATTTTTTAATGGTAATAACTGAAGAAATTGAAGATTATCCAAAAGATGATATTATCATCTACAATCATAAAAATGAAAAAGTAATAGTTAGTCGAAGTTTTACCTATAAATGCAGGAAACTATCCAGATAAAAAGATTCTTCTAGTTACTCATGTACTATCCTGCTATCCTATTCCTGATAATTATAAAATACAAGCAAGTTGGGGCGAGGAAAAGAAAATAAAACCATTCAATGTGTAATTACAAATCATGAAAATAAACCTTTGTTAAACTAATTAATTAATTTTATTTATAGAAATTTACAGAAAATAAAACAAGAGTATCAGAAATTTTACTTTTCGGTTTACAACTTAACAAATTAAAAGAACATCGAGAGATAAAATTACATAAAAAGACTTAAAACCTGTTAATAATATGACAACTTCTGGACTAACAAAATAAGCAACAAAGGTGGCATCTAAAGTATTAGAACAGTTTTCCAACATTACCAAAGATTTTTATCTTTTAGAAGATACTCCACAATTGGAATCAATAAGTTTTAATGTCAAAGATAAAAGATATAATATTGATTATGAAAAAGAAAATCAAACATTAAACATAAAAAGGAGGTTGCAATTGTAAGAGCAATGAATAAATCTCGAAATCCCGATGGCACATAATCCCGACAGTCTAAAACCTGAAACGTCAAAATCCCGAATTGTCACAATCTCGAAAAATCAAAATCCTGACATGTCTTAATCCCGAAAGATAAAATCCCGAAATGATAAATCATAATCCCGAATATCACAATCCCGAATTTCAAAATCCCAAATATTGTAGTTTTGATTATTATTTTGCAAGAGTAACGTAATATTAAAAAGAGTCTGTATGATATCCCGAAAGGTACGAAATCCCGAAACTTTGAGCATAACAATCAATATTTCGGGATTTCGTACTTTTCGGGATTTTGAGTTTCGGGATTTTGAACGGATCTCTTTCAATTATATGAAAAATTTATAACTAATTTATAATAATTTTATTTTTTTGTGAACCTATTATTTGTATATATGCAACGTGTAATGCAATATATTTCAATGGTTACAATAATGTAGTAAACTGAAAATAATCTCACCGCCTAAGATGGATACTTATTAAAATCTTTTGCTTTTTGACATTTAAATAATAATAATAATAATAATATATAAAATTAATAAAGTTGTTCCTCTCTGATATAATATTTTTTTTATAATAAAAAACCATAATAAATACATAGTAAATACTATTAATTAAAAAGTTATTATTAACTAATGAAATTCTATTTTGTATTTCGGGATTATGACATGTCAGGATTTTGATTTTTCGAGATTATGACAAGTCAGGATTTTGACTATTCGGGATTGTGAAAATTCGGGATTTCGAGCTTCGGGATTTCGCACGGATCCCAGGTATAACTTGCAGCAATTGAACCAAATTTACCAAGAGAAAAAGAATTTCTGAACAAAAATTTTATTAATTATTTAATGAAACAAAAGATTAAAGATATTATTGATCTTACAACAACTGCAGCGGTAGATCCTGATAAAACACCACATATTATGGATGAGAATGTTATAGAAACATTATTAATTCAATTGGTAAAGTATGAGTTCGTAGTATTAAAGAAATTTTATACTTAATCTAGTCAAAAAATATATTTTAAATCCTTTACAACACCTCTTATTTCAATTAGAATTTCTGGAGATAGACGTAATATTGGCTGTAAATTAAAACATATTATGTTAATATTTGCAATTTTTGATCATGAAAAAGTTATTTTTTCCTGAATATCAATATACTCTTATTCTTTACCCTAAATCTGAAGAATATAATACATTAGATACAACATATAAATCTAAATTGTTACCAAAAGAATTATGGCAACCTAATCATTAAGGACTTATGATTAATAAAATTACATTGAAAATTTGAACTTTATTTTTCTTCTAACTGGAAATTTGTAATTACTATTTAGGATTTAATTCTCCAACAAGTTATTACTTTTGTCCCTGGTGTTTAATCAAAAATGATCAAAATAATGATTTAAATGCTAATTAGACAATATTAAAAAAATGATAATTTGAAAAATAATTATACTTGTTATCTGGGTTATCAAAAAAAACCATTATTTGATATGATTGACATGGAAAATTATCTTGTTGATAAATTGCATATTATGTTAAGAATTATTGATATGTTATGGAATCTATTAATATATAAAGTAAAATTGCATCTGAATATTTTGATATAATACGTGAAATTATTATTAAAGAAAATATCAAATTAGTGTTCATATTCAATTCTGACAAGAAAAGGATTTTAATAAATAGTCATATACTTTACTAAAGGATCAGAATAAACCTAAAATATTACGTTATTTTAATTTAGAAATAATTTTAGATTTTACTTGAATGAAAAATAATATGAAAATTATAGGATAAATTTAATAATTTATATATAGCATTAAAGATTAAAAATACTGATTCTATAGAATTTCAATCTACTATTAAAGCATAACTTAAATATTTTTTATTCCTTTAATTGGAAATCCTAATGATGATAATTTTATTAAAGGTCTTTATCAACCTGCTATTATTACATTATATATATATATATTAGTTTGACATGTAAAAGAATTTAGTAAACCATAATAAATAAGGTATTAAATCTTTTTCTTACTTTTCAGTTGAAAAAAAATCATATGCAAGTATTTTTTTTTTGTAAAACTAGAAAAGATGAAGGTAAAGCTATTAATCCTAAGCTGTAATAATTGAAATACTTAAAGAAGAAAACAAATCACTTTATAAATTATCTTAAAATATCTCTGTTACTTCAAATAAGCCTCAAAAAATTCAAAATAATGGTTAAAGTTTAAATTAGAATTTTTTTAATTAGAAGTTAAATTTATATTTTATATCAAATCAATACAATTTCTAAAAAATTCTGACATTTTATTATTACAAATTAATTGATATTTACAATTTTTAATAATTATCTAATTTTTTAAATAAAGATGTGATATATGAAAATATATAGTTATTTGACTAACATAACAAATTTATTATTAATTTCACATTCTTTTTTTTCTTCCATTTAATCATAATCTCATTTCTTTGTATCAAGAATTTTATCTTTTAATATTTTTCTTATATACCATTCTTTTAGTAGATACTAGTATTAAAAAATTTACCTCTCTCTTTTCTTTATATTATTTACTATTTAATAATAAATCCCTTGGTTGATGTAACAAAACTATATAAGTATTTATCTTTAATTATAATATTTAATTATTATTACTCATTATTAAAATATAATTTAATTTCTTTTTGTCTGAACTTCCTTAAAAAAACATTTATAAATACCTCTTTTAGTCTAATATTAATGAATAAATCCACAAAAATTGAAAATTAGCTTCTAATACAGGGAAGTGAAACTATTTTACGCTTCTCTTGAATATTATTTTTGGCTAATTTTCTGTGAATATGATATACGAGATTCTTTTGAAATTTTTTAATTATTTGTGAAGGTAAAATCTCAATATATTCTTTAGGCCTATTATACTTGCTAACAGTTTTATAATATAATAATAATCCAAATTTAGAATTAAAAGAATGAAGACATACTTTACAAGTATTTTTAATATTGAAGGAGAAGAATAATTTGAAATTTCATCTATTAACTTATTTTCTAGAAAGTTATAAAGAAATTTAATAAAATTATTTTTTATAAAAATCAAAAATAAATCAAATAGTACAAATATAATTGCAATACTCTAATAGACATTATCTTATTAAAAAGTTATGATAGGTTTTGAGAACTGTTAATGGGTTAGATATAGTTTTACTATGTATTTTATTTCTTTAAATATACAAATATTATAATTGATGGTTTATTTTATTAGTCACAATGTATTTATTATACCAAAAACCATATGAAATATCAATCAAAATTTTGGCATAATTTTAAAGATAGGTGAATATGGTTGAGACAACAAATTATTAGAATATTCACTTAAAATAAATTTATTTTATATGTCTCACTTAAGCATTTAAAACACAAAAATATATAGAATTCTATTAATAAATCAAATTAATTTTTACCAGTATTTTGATTTTATCAATTATTTAAAGCTTTAACATTTCATTAATTTGTGTATATTATTACTTTGTTTACTCATATTCTTTACTAGTAGAAAGATATATTTATCAATTTTTTTAGTTGATTCTACTGTTGTAATTAAAATTGATTTTTATCTGAAATTCAGATACTTTTTGGATATTTGAAATTGAGATCTAAAAATTAGTTAATTTCTATATAATATTAATTTTAATTAAATTCTAATTTCAAATATGAGAAATATTAGATTATTTAAAATTAGAATATATGATATTAAACTTCAAATAAATCTAAATTTAAATAATATTTAATAAAATAATATATATTTTTTTTTTAAATAAAATTATTTTTTTTATTTTATTTTAATAAAATTTACTTTTAATTTATTTAAATAATATTTAAGTATATTAGACCTGTGTATAATCATCCTATCTATAATTATATTATATAAATCCTTTTTATAATTATATCTATATTAAAATTAGTTTATATTATATTAATATTTTATTTAATTATAATGTAATTTTATAATTTATTAATTTTTTTAAAATAATTTTTAAATTTTAAAAATTAATTATTATATTTTTTTTTTATTAAAATTTAGCAATTTTAATAATTTAATTATTTAATTTAATGACTTTTTAATTATTATAAAATATTTTTATTTTAATTATTTGATTATTAGACAATTTTTATTTTATTATTTTGACTATTTAATTATTTAATTATTATCAATTAATTGTTAAAAAATTTATTTATTTATTTGCTATTTTAATTATTAAAAAAATATTTATATGTTAGCTATTTAGTTATTTAACTATTTATTTTAATTATTTGGTTATTTGGCTAATTAAATTTGAATATTTTAATTATTATATTATTAGCTATTTTAATTATGATATATTTAACTATTTTTTAAATAAAATATTTATCCCTTAAACTATAGAGCAAGCAAATTTGTCTGTAAAGTTAAAAAAAATGTTAATATCTTTATAAAACATTAAATATTAATTTTGTAATATTATTATTATATAAAAATATAATTTAATATATATTTTATTAATTTTATTAATAAAATTTTAAGCTTATTCAAAGGTTTTTAAAATAATCAAATTTTAAAATTAAGTTTCAAACAATTTCAAATAATAATTTTTTAAAAATTTATATATTTACATACTAATTGAATCATTTTATCCTTAATAAATTATGAAAATTATAATAATTAAAGTTTTACTTTATAAGTAATTTTATAATATTTTATTATGTTTAATATAATTAAAAGTAAATCCTAAAAAGTTTGTCATAGATTAATCATAAAATTTTTAATATAATTTTTTTAAAAAATTATAAATTTTAGCTTTTATGTAATCTTAAACTTATTAAAATATAATTAAAAGATAAAACTTAATATAATTTATTATATATGCTATTTATAATATTAATTTAAAAAAAAAATTTTTTTAAAATATTAATTATCTATAAAAGTAAATCAGAAGAAAATTTATAATAAATAAGCAAATAAGTTTGCTTACAAAATCCTACAATTTAAAGATTAGTTTTAAATTATAATTTCAAATAAAAACAAATTGCTTATATTAATTAACTAAATAATTTTTTTAAAAAAAATGAATTTTTAATCATTTGAATTACTTTAAATTTTTGATTTTTTATACATTTTCAAAATTTTATTATTTATATTTTTAATTATTCATTTAAAATAATTCTGATTTTACTATAAATATTTATAATTTATTAAATATATTAAAAAGAATTTAAAATAATGATTTATAATAAAAAAAATATTTCGTTTATTATTCTAAAAATTTTTTTATAAAATGATAAATATTAATTAATAATTTTTAATTATTAAAATGCTTATCCTTTAAATTGTTTAACAGGTATATTTACTTACAAAATTAATAAAAAGTATTAATTTTTTTATAAATTTTATAAAATAATAAATATAAATTTTAATTATATAGATGATCAGCTATTAAAATCATCTTATAAAATACAGTAAATTATATGATCTGTAAAATGATTTTATTAGCTGATAATCCATATTATTATTATATAAAATACTTAGTTTAATATATAATTATTAACTTAATTTTTAAATTAAAAAACTTAAAAAAATTTATTAATTAAGTTTTAAAAAATTTTTATAAAAATTTATATGATTATATACAATTATCATTAATAAAAATCATAAAATTTCTTAATAAATTATAAAAATTGTAATAATAATAGTTTTTTTTTAAAAGTAATTTATAATATAATATTATAATTAATATAACTAAAAGTAAATTCTAAAAAAATTATCATAGATTAAATATGAAATTTTTTAATTTTAATTTTTTTTAAAATTACGATTTTTAGATTATAAATACTGTAACTTTAAATTTTTTATTATATAATTAAAAGATAAAACTTGCTATATATATTATATATTTATAAAATTAATTTTAAAAAAAAATTTAATATTATAAATGTAAATCAAAAAAGAATTAGCTTGTGAATTTTTATGATAAAAGGATAATATTAACAAAAAAGAATTTTTTGCTAATATTATGACTTATTATAGTATAATAATAATAAATTAAATAATATTAATTAATAGTAATTATTAAAATGTCTAAAATTTTTAATTAATGTAACAAATTGAATTAGTTTAATATTATTTATTTCTAAGAATTATTGATTATTATTAAAAATGGTTCAGTAATTAAGAAGTTGTTACTAGCTATAACTTTTTGTAAAATTTATTTTAATATAAAAATTTATAAATAATTGCAATTAGTTAAAAATTTTAAAATTAATTATAGTTTCTTTTTTATTTATTATACTTAGTGATAAATAAATATTATATAGCTTAAATATTTAAATATAATTATAAGTTTATTATTTTTTAAACAATTATTATTTAATATATAATCAAATTAAAAAATATTTTAAAAGTTAGCAAAAATATAATAGATAATTAAAATTAGCAATAATAAAAATATACTAAATTTAATTTATTATTTATTATAAATAAATATTAATTTTTAGTCTAAAATATTATGATTTATGCTAAAATTAAGAATTTGTAATTTATTATAATAATTATGAAGTTATATTACTTGTGATATATATATAAGTTTTATATTTTCTAATAAATATATTTTCTTTTAATAAAATTAATATAAAATATATTTATAAGCAAATATTATATAGAAGTAATAGTATTATATAGTAATAAAATTATTATAAAAAATTGATAATATTAAATCTTAAACTAATAGTATAAGTAATACTTGAAAATTATGCAAATTTATTCTTAAAATTAAAAAAGCAACAAAAATTATTCAAAATATAGAAATATTTTTTTTGCATATATATAATAAATAAAAAAAATACATTATTTATTTTTAATTAATTATATATTTTTATAGAATTTATATATAATATTTATATCAAATAAGATAAGTATATAAAAATTCATATTATATATTATTAAGAAATACTATTAAATTTTTTTATAATAATTAAATAATATTATAAATTTTTATGAATTAATTTATAGTTTAAAATAAATATAAATCATTAATAATGTATAATATTGTAAATTAAATATTTAAAAAACTAATTTTAATAAAAATAATTAAAAAAAATTTAATAGAATTAATATGAATTAATAAAATGAAATAAAAAATAATAATAATAATAAAACAAATTTATTTACTTCTGATTTTAATCAAGTATATTTCTTAAATAAAAAATTATATATAATTATAAATAAAATTATAATCTATTGATTTTTTTTAAAAAAATAATATTTTTATAAAAATTAAATAAGTTTTATAATTTTATTATGTCTGAAAACTTTTTATTTCTAATTTCTCCTTTTTTTTAAAATTTTTTTTTTTTCTAAAATCAATTTATAATATCCATAAATTAAAATTACATTTGCAATATATCTTAAAATTCATAAGATAATACAATTTTATAACTTTATAACCATTAACCTAAAAATAATGAAAATTTATATTCACATTTTTGAACCTGCTAAACAACTTTACTTAGACTTCCAAAGTCAATTTCCTTTGACCAAATGCTCAATTATTCTTTGAAGTTACTAAACAGATAAAATAAAAATAAGATAAAAATTTCGTGAAATAATACAATTATGAAAAACATTCATAACTATATAACTATTAATCCAATTATAATTAAAATTTATATACCCCTATTTTCGAACCCACTAAACAACTTTACTTAGGATTTCAAAGTCTATTACCTTTTACCAAAGTTCTCAAATTAACTTTTGAAATAATTGAATAAATAAAAATAATACAATTACAAAAAACATTCATAAATTTATAACTATTAACCCAATTATAATGAAAATTAATATTCACCTAATTTCGAACCAGTTGAATAACTTTATTTAGGCTTCCAAAGTAAACTTCCTTTGACGAACATGATAAACGGGATAAAATAAAAATAAAAATAAATTTTATGAGATAATATAATTGTGAAAAACATTTATAACTATAAAACTATTAATTCAAACATAATGAAAATTTATATGCACCTATTTTCGAACCCACTGAACAACTTTACATAGGATTTTAAAGTTGATTACCTTCACCAAAGTTCTTAAATTGACCTTTGAAATAATGAATAGATAAAAAAATAATACAATTACAAAAAACATTTATATCTTTACAAATATTAATCCAATTATAATGAAAATTTATATTCACCTAATTTCAAGCCAATTGAACAACTTTACTTAGGCTTTCAAAGTGGACTTCCTTTGACCAATGTGCTAAACAGTTAAAAAAAAAAAATAAAAAAAATTTCGTGAGATAATATAATTATGAAAAACGTTCATAGCTATATAACTATTAATCCAATTATAATGGAAATTTATATTCGAACATACTGAACAACTATACTTAGGATTCCAAAGTCGACTTCCTTAAAATTTAAACTTTTTTATACAAACAACTTTATTAGAATATAAAAAGTAAGGTGAAATTAAAGTGTTTTAAAAAAAAAGTTTTTTTTTTTTTGGTGATCTTTTAAATTCATGTAAAAGAATTTGAATTCCAATTTCTGACAATTCGGATCTCAATTTCAGACACCCGAAAAGTGTCTGAATTCCAATCCATACTGCTGATCATATCTTTCCATCCGTTGAGGTTGTAGTGGCTAGATCCGGATGTCGTCTAATAGAAACAGATACGGAAGATATCTGCGAATCACAGTGTCCCTCAACATCTTAATAAACATCTAACTTACCGAAATTTACGAGGTGTTCCTCTATTTCTTGGTAGCCCCGAAATACTTGAAAAATGGTTCTCGGCTATTCAGTAGATCTGGTATGCCCTACAAATATTTCGATCAGAGAAAAGATTGGATTCAATTTATAATATAAACGAAATTTGTCTATTACGAAGTTCGAATAATAAATCTGATATAAGTCAGACAAACAATATTAAATTTGACGTAAATTTTGATTTGACATTATATTATTTTACTTTATATTGACAGATTCAGGAATTAAAGAAATTGGTAATAAATCCAATTGAATAATTCACTAATTACTATTCGTCAGAGATTTCTTTCAGGAATTAGTTGGACATCAAACCAAAATAACATGCATTTTATTTTATTTATTTTTTTTAAAAAAAAAAGAAAATCAAAATCAAAAGAGTAGATTATGCCCCCCTTTCTTTTACACCTCATTCAAGCAATTTGAATATATAAAGTACAAAACATTATTTTCGAGTTAAATTGCTGTGTCTTGTAAAGTGGTTGACTATCAGATTTGTATTTTATTTTTTTTTCCATCATTGATCTAAACAATTCATAAATTCAGCATTTTTTTTTTCTGACGCTTTTAGCAAACTTACTTGCCCCCATTAAAAAAAAATTATTTCCCTCCCTCAAATGTCTAAATCTGCGATTCTTATTTGAGAATGCTACTTACTGTATTCTGAACACGAGAGTTTTAACACTTCCACCGTAATTAAATCTACTAATACGCATGAATTGATTCTAATTGACGTATATTGATATGACATAATGTAAATCTACTACATGATCAAAAAAATTTCTTTTTTTTCTTTAAAGCTATTTTTACTAATAATTAAATTGATTTCTAAAATGTCACGGTTCATTTATATACGTATTAAAAAAAAAGTGACGACTAAAAATAAAATTGTCCGTTTTAAACTAAACAAAATAATATAATACGATACATGTTTCACAAGACATGTGATAATGCTAATTACAGAGAAATTTTTTCACAAAATTAAATAAAATCAAATAAATAGGATTTTTCGCAAACAAAATACATGATACAAATTAAAAAAATTTAAACATCTAAATCAACACTATTGAATTAATGTATAAGGCTTTAATCTTAATCGTGCAGGTTCGCAAAATGAAGCTACCGGGTATAAATATTCCGGTAGGTCGTTCCATTCAGTAACTACACGATACCTCGTTCCATCAACTGTAAAAGCACAATTTCGATTGCCTTTGCACATGTTTACGTGAACGGTGATTTTGCTATTATCACCAAATGGAGGGCAATAGTTTTGAATCATGATTCCAGAATGATTTAGTGTGCCGGATGAACCCAAGACCCATGCAGTTTCTTGCTCTCCTGCAAATTTATCAAAATCCAATCCTTGCTTTGCGCATACTCCAATCCAGACGAAAGTACAACTTCTTTCGATGATGATATCCCATTCAAATGTGGTTTCAATGTTAAGTTCCATCGCCGTCCTAACACATTGAAGTTGATTATGATTAGCGTCGTCATTTATTTTTGCAATTTTACCTTCATCTTCAATTAAAATATCGTCTCCACACGTTGATTCATCCCAAGCATAATCGTATTCTGCAAAATTAATTCTAACTGGGGGAATTCCACGAACGCCATTTGAATCTGCACTTTTCAATTTTATTTTCTTTCGATATGCTTTGAAGAATAATTCTTGATCAACGATATTTAATGGTTCGATGATTTCTGCTAGCTCGTGGCCTCTAATTAATGCAAAATCGATATATCCTGTTAAGTTTTCTAATGTTCTAGCAATTTCTTGTTTGGGTGCAAAAATCTCATACTCGTCATTTTTAAACGATTCATTAATGTTTTCTAACGTGGGCAACCGTTCTTTAATATATTCGGCAGCTTCATCAGATACTTCTATAGCTGATAGTATTGCACTATATCGAAATACTTCATATTCTTTTGTCATTATTGTATTTTGATTCTGATGTGTTCTCGATAAAAGTAATCGAAGTGCACCTATAGACAATCTACCGAATTCAATGGTAGTTAAGTTTATAAGACACACGGCACCAATCAATAAGTTGAGTAGCATATCTTCACCGTTCGAAAGGTCTTCATCGATAATTTTAGATAACAATTCTGGTGAATAATTATCATGGGGATTTCTATCTAAAATATTTTTAACGTGATTTATTATCGCGTCTTGTAGGTCGGGGATTTGGAAGAAATCCGCAGCATAAAACGCTTCAACAATATTGTCCCTGTTCAAGGATTCTTCAAAAATGATTCCCGTGTAAATGAATTCTAATATGACTTTCATTCCTAAAGAGTTAAACTTTCCAATATTGATAATTCTTTCGTTACTTTCCCTCATTCCATTGTATAGTAACTTTTCGAATACTTCAGACCTTGCGGCCAAAATTGCTCTTATGCCGAATATCACAGAGTTGTCATCGCATAAAATTTCGACATCACTGTATTTTTCATTATCAATTAAAAATCTAAAGTCATTTTGCAAGGAATGCCCTTTTGACATTTTTTTTTTTTTTTTTTTTTTTTTTTAAGAAAAAAGACAGGGAGGAAGGGTGCTTCAGTATTTTTTTTGTTGGAGTTGAAACTTTAAATTGGAAAAAAAAAAGGTTACGCAAGGATTATTTAATATAACATTCTGTTGTCGTGAAACGTTAGTGATGCAAATTAGTAGCGAAACGGGAGAACAAAATAACGGATTTAGTTAAATGTTATTCGCAAAATTAAGCCTTTTAAGGTATCGTTTAACAATTGCCTTGTGAATCCGAAAATTGTGTAAAACTAGCCTCAACCGGAAAAAGTCACGTGATATCGACAATTTTGATCTAGTATTGAGGCAGTTTAGCGTGAGTTTTTTCTTCCTTTTTATAACTTAAAGAACAATATAAATATACACTCATCTTTTAATCCTCTCGTCAACCCTCTAATCTGTTTAGATACGATAAAAAAAATAATAATATTTTAACAAAACAAAATAAAAATATTACATTTCAAACTTGCATGTTTTTATTGAAATTTGAATGAATAAAATTCTAAATTCTTTTAACATTAAAGGGAGATTTCTCGAGTTTCATTAGCATCACTTTTTTTTTTGATCCTGCAAGCAAAAAGGCTACAACACGTTTTAAATTTTAGATCGTACATGCCGAAAAGGAAATTTAAAGGGAATTGCTTGTGTAACGGTAGCGTTGGACGCGACTTACTTTAATCGCATGTGAAATTGCTACCGAAAAAAAGGTTTTTCAAGTATAGAGAGTATTTTATCTTTTGTTAAGCTATCACTTCAAATCACCATATTTAAAAAGTTTATTATACTAGAAAATTCATTTTTAATAATAGACTTTTAAATCCCAAATATAAGTTGAAAAAAATATATTAAGGAAATTTTCAAATCTTGAGGAAATATGGGAGTGGTTTTTATGTTACCAAGACCTAATGCTTACTACGACTTCTAAACAAAATTCGTTGGTTTCTGAACACGCTGTGTTTTTTTTTACAAGGAAGAAGTGGTTCTCCCTATTACTATCTATAAATTATTTCCTTTATTTTCGCCAAAGAGTATGAGTCAAATTCATTCATTTAAAGATTGCGATCAAAAAAAAAAAAATAAATAAAAAAATAAAAATATTAGGTTCAAAAACTTTTTTAATCTTCACCTTTTCTTTTTATTTTACAAAAAAGCATGTTTATTTATATTATATATCATATTAACAAATACTTCAAATTATCTATGAAATACAAATATATGCGACAATGTTACAAATTCTCTCAACGATCCTAGGAATTCCACTTATTTCAATTGTAATCTAATTTTGCAACGAGTTCATTATAACTTTTAACTTTAACACTTGATCCAATCTCTTTGAACTTTTTCTCCAAATAATTATTATAATACAACATATCAGGGAAAATGCCAATAACATCACTTTCGTACGTCAAATATTTCAAACACTTTGTTTCTTTTACAAATTCTGTCAAGATATCTAAAATTTCTTCGGTATCCTTTTGATTTTTTGTCCTAATCAACAATTTCGTGAAATGAATCTCCTTACACATTTCTAAAAATTCTCGTAAATCATTAGGATCAATGATGATCAAATAAACATTCAAATATATCAATTGTTTTGGTAATATAACACCTAAAGATCTCAATAATTCCGAATTAATATCTAGAGAATCTTTTTTATTCTCATCACATCCGGCATATATCCAATTGCATTTTGTAACCTCCAAAGTTAGATATCTAAGGGATTTACTGAGAAATTTTACGACTTGTAAAACGGAAGAAATATTTTTATGTGAAATGTTGGCCAAATGTAGGAAATCAATCCTTTCACAAAAATCCAAGATCGCTTCAGGTATATCATTGGATCTAAACCCGTTAAGTGACAAAACCAAATTTCGTATCGTTTTCCCAAATTTTTGAACGAAATAATGTGATATCGGATTATTAAGTTCTAATATTCTATAATACCTATACGTGTAAAGGAATGTGAAGGATTTGATCTTAATTGTCGTGGTTAAATTGACGATAAATGAATGAACCACGATCTCATTCAATGATATACAATTGATAAAATGAAGTGATTCAAGATTTGTGAGACATCCAAGTCCTTCGAGTGATGAAACATCTTTAAAATTACATCCGTCAAAGGTGATCGAAGTTAAAGAAGGTGAACAACTTTTCAAAAAAAGTAGTGAACTAAATATTTCCATATTAATTTGTTTGAATGAAATTTTAGATAAAAGAGTTTGTGATTTAATTAAATGTGCGATATCCGCTGCGAGGTATTTATCGTCAACCGTTATGAGTTGTAAAGTTAAATATTTGATGGAAGTGCAAAAATATGGTAAATAGGTAAAAAATTGCCTGATTTTTGATAGATTTGGCATTTGTATAATATCTGATAATATGTAATTGAAATTAATCTTTAAATCCTCGGTTTTGAAAAAAAGTTTTGAATTATTCAAGAATAATTCACAGATATTGGCCAGTGATTCCCTTCCAAAAGCTTGTTGAAGAATGACCTCAAACGTGTTTAAAGATGCCTTCATTTCGACAAATAATTTTAATAAAGCGATATATATGAATATCGTCGATTTGTTTAAAATCATCACTTCCGCATCCGGTAAATATCCTATCGATTCCGGTAGGAGAGCATTTCGCCTTCTGTTGACGTATGAAAGCATGTTTTGTTGCGTTATCTGATTCCTACTATTTAACATTAAATTTGGTAATGCATTTCTTCGAGCGAGTCGAACGTTTGAAATCGTTGTCGCGGGTGATACGTAAGCGGGTAAAGAAGCTTGATTTTGAGGGTAATTGGATATCGTTGGATAAAATATTTTTTCCCCTCTACTTGTGAATACAGGCATGTATGAAGTATGATGTTCGTATTTTAAGTAGAGACTGATCCATAATTTTATAATGGTTTCCACTTTAGATGTATCAAGAACCTTAATAAAACTTGGATATTTGAATAAAGGTTTTATTGAAGATAATATGTTAATTCTCTCATGACCAATTCCAAGTTCTTTTAAAATGGTTTTATCTTTTTCGTTTAAAAATGAGAGGTAAATATCAAGAAAGTGAAATTGTTTATTCTTATTAAATTTAAAAGAAAAAGGATCCCCCCATAATATCGGAATAGTTAAACGACACCATAATCGATTAACCAAAGTACAAGAATAAAGTGAAAGATGATCATCATGTAGATTTTGTAATATTCTACTAGTAAGTTCCGGTATATCACCTGAAAATAATTTTGAATGTGCCATAATAAAAGGAAAAAACTAAAAAAAATTGGAACAGGAAGGGAGAAATTCTTTTTTTAACCCGCTTATATGCGATTTGGTTGTTGTGCATATCCTTTTAAGTTTAAATTAAATGACGACTTTCGGGTAACGATAAATATGATAATGCGCCACGTTTTTGAATTCACGTGACCTGGGAAGAATTATCATTACATTACGAAAAGTTTTTAACTCGGAACGATATTTCAGAAAATCCAATAAATGAATTTTTTGTGATTGAGTTCGATTTATCAGGAATTTGTTAAATTAAATAAAAATCAACGCGTTCCTATGAAATTAAATTATGGTGGTAAGGAAGGTAAATTTATTAACTAAAATGTTTGGAATATCAGATAACGATCGGATTTGATTTTAAAAAGAATCCGAATAAAATCGATTTCTTCCCTTCTACAAATTGCCTAAAGATTTTTTTATTTGTTGAATATGGTTATCATCACTTTGTCGAAAAGTTGTAATTTAGCTTTTCCAAATGCTCAAAATTTTAAACGGAAAAAAATATAAATGTTGTACAGCGTGTCATCGTTTTAAATTTCTTAACGCTAATGCAAGCAATTTTAAATATTTAATGAGAATGGATTTATATTCTAACTGGAATTTTGATTTTGTCACGCGATGTGTGCATTCATTTTTATATAACCCTAATTTTAATCGTAGCTTTTACCTCATTGAACCATTGATATTGATATTTCTCTTCGCTCCCATTAAACAATTAACAACTATTTTAAAATATTAAATTCTCTATATTTAAATATAAACAATTGATTTCTATATTTTTATCATTAAAATTTTTATTACTTTTTTATTTTATTTATTATAATAAATTAATTCAAACTAAAGATATATGGTCGAAAAAATTTAATCGGTTTACCATTAACTTTGACATGATATGTTATGTAAATATTATTTAACGGTAAAAACATTCTTAATTAACAAAAATATAGAAAGCATTAAATATACAAATATAACACACGTAAAAATTCCCGCATCTTCGCTCCGTACTGCGCCGCTGTCTTAACGACATTAATTTTAAAATTTTATTAAGAGCATATTTTAGATAAAATTAAATGTTATACTGTACTTAATTCGATTACTGTAAAAATTATTTTTAGCTTAGTCCTTCCATTTATCATATTTTTTTTCTGAATTTAAAATATACAAGATGCTTGTATGTAGGTAATTAAATGGATTTAAAAATAGAATATATAGAAATTAATTTATGAAGATAAGCTATTCGGTCAAGAATCCATAAGAATCAGTATAAATCAGTATAAACAAGTAAATAATAACGTCTAAAAAGAACCGAATAAGGAACATTAAGAAATTAAATTTAATTTTAAAAGATCATTCATATAGAACCTTTATTTTCTAAAACTTAAAATAAATCCTTTTTGAAATATAAATTTTTTTTAAAGAATACATCCTAAATAAAATTCAATGAAGCTGAATTCGAAATTGACTAGGATATCTTAATGAAACAACGGGATATAGTATTGATGGTAAATCATTCCATACTGATACCGCCGGATATCTCGTTCCATTAACAGTAAATGCACAGGTTCTTTTATTCATATCTAAATGAACTGTGACTTTGCTATTATCCTTTTCAAATGAAGGGCAATAACTTAGATGTTTTCCAGAATGAACTGCATAACCTGTAGAACCCAATACCCATCCAGAAGATTGAGCTCCCGCGAACATTTCATAATCCAAATTTTGTGACGCACATACTCCAACCCAAGCCCATGAACAATGTTTCTCTATAATAACATCCCATTCAAAAATATCTTTATTCTCTAATGAAAATTTAGCTCTAACATTACTATATGAACTACCAATTTGTGCTCGTACAACTTGTCCATAATCCTCAATAATAAGTTTTGATCCACAAGTTGATTCATCCCAAATATAAGTAGATTTATTCACATATGGTATCCCTCGTATTTCATTTGAATCTGCATTATTTGATCTTGCTTTATGACGATAAACGTTTAAGATGATTTCATTTGGAATAATTTTTAATGGTTCAATGATATCAGCTAATACTTGGCCTTTGATTCGCCTGAAATCAATGAATTTTATTATAGGTTCCAATTCCTTAGCAACTATCTGATGATCTGGGATAAGCTCTTTTTCAATTTGCTTTGAATCGTTTATATTTTCTAAAGTTGGCAAACGTTTCACAAGTGCTTTATTCGCATCATCAGAGATTTGTCTTGCTACCAAAATAGTACTGTATCGAAAAACTTCATATTCTGGTGTCGCAAAGGGTTTTTCCTTTTCATACGAATATGATAAAAGAATCTGAAGTGCTACGGAAGATAATCGACCAAATTCAATAGAATTTAACGGAATAGTTGAAACCGTTTCAACTAGTAAACTAAACAGAATATTATCTTCTCCTAATGGCATCGCATCGACAATTTTAGATAACAATTCTGGTGAATAATTATCATTTGAATTCTTTTCTAAAGAACTTTTAACCGTCTTCGTAATAAAATCTTGAAGGTCCGGTAGTTGGAAGTAATCTGCAGCAATAAACGCCTCAACGATATTATCTTTTGTTAAAGCTTCTTCTTTAATAACTCCTGTATAAATATATTCCAATATAACTTCCATTCCGGAAGAATTAATCTTCGAAAAAGAAATTTGTTTATCATAATTTTCTCCTGTTCTACTATAAAATAGCCTGTCAAATACTTCGGACCTTGCAGCCAAAATTGCTCTGCATCCATGTAATTTCTTTTCATTTTTGCATATAATTTCGATATCACTATATTTTGGATTGTTGATTAATAATCTCAAATCCAGTTCTAATGAAAACCCTCTTGTCATTTTATCAATATTCCTTTTTTTAAAAAAATGCAATTAAAAATATTTCGAAATTCTGTATTAAGCGTCAAAGTCGATAGTATGACAGATTACGCCTTCAATTACATGCTTGCATGCTTTATATAATTTTTTTTTATAATAATGGTTCACGTGACATTACTCGTGTTTTTTACATCAATTTCTAGTATTAGCAAACATTAAATATCTAAATAATAATGAATCATTATAAAATAATAAATAATATAGGTCATTGGCTAAACTTGATAAAAATAATTGAAGAAAATTATATATATATATATATTTTTTAAAAAAAAAAAAAATTGGAAAAATAATTCAAAAAAGAAAAATGTTGATGTATAACAAAATTATTAATTATTAAAATTTCAAAATTAAACTAATTAAAAAATATTTAAGATAAATTATGTTCTTAAATTTAAATTGATTATATTTTAAAAATTTTTAATCTCTTACTGCAACTTTATTTGGTCTAAACGGTTCAATATTCAACTCTTCGTCTTGGATAATGCGGAATGAATTGTGTTGAAAGTGCTTCCGCTAAAAATTACTTTCATCATATATGTAGTGATCAATTGAAATAATTGAAATACTACTGTATTTACTACTATTCACATAAATATTTTAAACCGCACATTAAAAATTTAAAGCTAATAAAGCATTCATTAAGATTTTACGGCAAAATCAATTAGGTGTGGACACCTCGTATTTTGATACTTTTATTGATTATTTCCTTTTAAATGAGTTTGATTCCAAGAATTCATCCGCCAATTCCTCAACACAGAATATAATAATTGCTTCCTCAAATTTGTCGTATGATTTTACATACGATTTCATTAATTTAATTTCGAAGGTATAAAAATGAAGTTTAATAGTTATTTGTGATTTATTTATTTTTTATACTCGATAATTTTCAAATGACATTATATGGAAAATGACTTCCGGTTTTCAATATACCCAGAATTTGTCTTTAAAAATCCGGAAGACAAATTCCGGAATTTGTCTTAAAAATATTTACATAACCAAATTACCAAAATTAGAACCTAACACAAACAACAAAGTTCTAAATGTCATTTACATTTTATTGTAACAAAATAATTAAATTTGTCCTTTTTTTATGAATTTCCACTAGGTAGGCCTTTATAAGTTCTGAAAACATATCAGACAAAATTCACTTATCGGAGAAGATACGGTATAAATATCCGGTTCAGATAATTATACCTTTATTGTGCAATTAACTTCACGGCTAAATGATAATTATTATGTGATTGCGTAATTATATCTAATAAATCATCATGCATGCTTTGCATTTTGCTTTTAATTAATTGCTTAATTTATAATTATATAATTATATTGATTCCGGTTTTTCCAATTCTCTTTGTTCGTTACAATCGGAGTTACTTTATTCAATTACTTTATGTAGAACTGTGGTGACACGAAATATTTTTATTTTATCTCTCAAATTTTATAATAATTACTGACTTTCATAATTCTATATAAAAAGAGTTTAAGGGATTTTGACTGCTAGAAAATGTTCAAATAGTTTTTTTCATTTTCCTTCATTCAAAAAATTTAAACGTTATGACTCAAAATAAGAAGCGACTGTTTAATGAATATGTAATTATACTATTTATTAATATTTATTTCTAATAATTGGAGGACTATTCACGTTATTCACGTGATTATTTCCGCCGTGACAATTCTTATTTGATATTGGA